GCAGGCGATCAAAGCGAATTCGTCGACAGGCCCTAATCAAGTTTATGATAGGCCAAGATGAGTTCGAAACCATTTTTATGATCTCATCTCAGTTAGCCAACGACTCCATCCTTGGTTGTCAGTTCCTCCGTGAGTACGGATTCAAAATTAATTTCGATTCAGAAACAATCACGTACGCCCGTGATGGCGCTATTAAGGAGCAGACATTTGCCCCTAAGGCAGATTTACTCGAGACCCGTAGTAATGACCGAGGTGTGATCAAAAATCCCTCAGATTCCAACCACCCAGCCGCAGGTCAGCGACCCAGTGACCAACCAGCTGACTGTGACTCCCCATCCCCCATCCCCCTAGCAGCTGACGGTTGCGAGGGAGCCATGCCGCCCCAAATCCTACTAGGCAGTGAGGCCATGAAAGTCGCTCCACCCAGTCCTCGGATCGGGACAAACCCGCTCAATTGAGAGAGAGACAAAGGGTCCTCTGATCCCGGCGGTGTACGCCCGGTTGATGAATAAATTAGAGTGTGTTCCCATTGATGGGTTAACTCGCACAGACGAGCCCCCAGGTGGCGATCCCGCTTTTCCGAGCGACACCCTTGACAGAGTTAGAGGTCATGTCGATAACGACTGCCCTGCCGAGCGGCGAACCTATCCCGAGATCCAAATCCCAGAAACCCGATCATAGGTCATTGCTAGTGGCCGACTTATACTCGTTAGTTGAGCGAGTGACCAGTCTGTCTGGCTCCAAGCAAAATGAACTATACCAGGTCCTACTCCGGTATAAAGATCACCTGACAACGCGACCCGGTAAATGTAACTTGTTTACTTATAGATTCCAGGTATGTGCTGACAAGCCAATTGAAAGTTACTCATGGCCAATTCCTTTTGCCCTTCGCCCCGCTGTCCGGGAGCAGATCCAGCAAATGATAGAGGACGGCATTCTTGAATTTAGCACCTGTCCTGTTTTGAACTCCTTGACAGCAGTGAGCAAAGAAGGTGGTGATATCCGCATCTGTGTAGACGCAAGAAGGGTAAACCAATACACGGTCCCGCATCATGAAAGGACCACGCCCATCAATGAGCTACTGCAGAGATTCCATGGAGCTAGATACTTTACCTCCATTGATCTCAGCTCGGCTTACCTACAGATTGAATTAGAGGAAGAGTCCAGACCATATACTGCGTTTTTGTTTGACCCAACAGTATATCAATATCGAGTACCATACGGATTCCGCAACTCTTTACCCGCGTTCGTACGTGCCATCAAAAGGGCCTTGGGCGGCCAAGACCTGGCAAATGTGGTGACCAATGTTAACGACGGAGCGACTTATGCGCGAACTCGGGAAATACTTCAGAATAGATCCTTGTTCAACGTCAGCTATCGAAATTCTCGAAATTCAGAGTTTGAATTAATGAATTTTTTGTTTGTTCGCGAGCGGATGAATTAGAGCCGCACACCCCCATTCCCAAATTTTCCACCTCTTTAAGACCCTTATTTAAGATGCTACCAAAAGGTGAATCTAGACAGAAGACAGAGTGCGAAAGAGTGAGAGAAAGAAATATTGTTATGTTAGACAGAATGCGAAAGAAAGAGTGAGAGAAAAAAATATTGTTATGTTAGACAGAATGCGAAAGAATGAGAGAGAGAAATATTGTAATGTTTACAAGTTTAAAGTCCTGGAAGGAAATGTAAGGGACATTCACTTAGAGAGAGAAAGAGATTGGGTCAGAGAAAGACAGAAGCAAACAAACCCCAATGCAAAAGAAGAAAGCAGCGCTAAGAAGACAAGTGAACTCTTAAGATAAAGTGTGAAGACACGAAAGACAGTGGAAGCAACCAGTGCACCAGTGAGTGATTCAACCGTACTCTAGAACAACTAATATTAACCTAGAAAGTGATAAGGTAGAAATTAATTTAGCATGTAGACCGTAGAATAGCAAGTGTTAATCTAGTGTTTAATAGCCCACATTTCAACCAACTTATTCATGTCAGTAGGTAACCGGCAACAAACAGGTCTTGGTTACGTCCTACGGCTACACCAACCCCAGTTTGGGGAGTGTAACCGTACAATGCAAATGACTACAATGTTTTGTTCACGTGTGTCGGTACTTGTCACTACATCAAAGCAGAGGCAATACCTCACACCCCACTCCAAACAGAGGGACCTGAATCCTTTCGCAGTTCCGGGATGGTAAAGTTTATGACGGGTCACAATCCCCGGACTTAAACCCAAACCAGCCCGACACTCTCCCTACTTTTAGAAAGAGCCATATGTTTTAATCAAAGAGAAATCTGTCCAAAAGACGTTGGAAAGAACTTTAGTCGTGTAGAGAGATGGCCCTCTAACCGGTCATAACTCTCCAAATGTTAAAACCTGCTTTTAGAAAGGAGCGGCGAATTGTTTCATTAGTAGAGGAAAGGGACCAATTTTCAAAACCTGATTCGTCACGGACCTACCCTTAGGAGACCATTAGATTGAACCCTCTCAATCCACCTCGGGTCAGAAAGACTGTGGAAGCGTGTGAACCCCAACTTTCGCCGCAAAATAGCTGACCATTGGGGGAATGAGAAACTCTATCGAACCCCTCCCCCCTCTAAATCCAGCCAACCCGGAGATTTGGAGGATGGCAACTAGGCATTCCTCAAATTTTGGCAGTACCTCTGAATCTGCAAAAACAGAGAGTTCTTTTAAAGAGTCTCGCAAGAACAGTTAAACTCGCCGGACGCAGAGCTAGCCCTCTCCATCGTCTGTTAAGTGATAGTAGTGTTCGAACAACGAGTGTAGATCACAGTAAAGTAACAACCTGAGTTGTATCTCAGTGGCACTCAGATTAAAAATCAATAAAGTTAAGTGGTGCCAAGTGTTTGTGTGTCCAGCGTGTTCTTTTCTCCTCGTCGGAGTAAGGCCCTAAACGACCTGAGCCAGAGTCTCACGCCAACCACGACTAGCCCGATCACCATCAGCTCCCACCCCGTCCACCTTTTCCTTTCACTTCGCAGCTGTACCCACAGTTGCTGGCGCCCATAGACAAATTAGGCCAAGTCCCGGACCTGATACCCCTTTTCATAGTGAAGACAAGTGGTGGAGCCAGGTAAAGCCGACCTAGCTGCAAGCTCCATGACCAACGACGGCAGTGGCGAGAACGACAAGAGAAAGGAAGGAAGGTAAAGAGTAGCGACCAACCGGAGTGGCTTGAGGCTTCACAGAGGGGGACGGTAAGAAAACCTCCAATGTGTGCACCCTGGATCACATGACACACATCCACACGGTAATCAAACTCTGCTGCAAATGGAGATAACAACCTTCTCCTGTGGCCGCCCCGTTTGGCAGATCTTAGACTGTGCGATTTTTTCTTTGAGGGTTCGTTAAAGACCGCGTTTATGTACCACCATTGCCCACGTCCATTCATGAACTTTGTGATCGGATAATGCATGCACTGCACAGTGGACATGCTACACTGGGTCTGGGATGAGTTTGATTACCATGTGGATGTGTGTCGTGTGACCCAGGGTGCATACATTGGAGGTTTCTAATTAGCGCATGAGAAACTTGGACAGTTGCTGCATCTGACAGTGAATGTTGTGCCTGTGTAAGTTGAGAAATAAATTTTTTATTAACTTTTGAAACCGCACAATCCTTTTGTGTATACCCTGTATTATGTGACTCCAATAATATCAGTGATGTCTATTCTAAATCTGACAACCCATCCAACTTTAATTGTTGACAACGTGACTCTTCTCTTAACACTTCTCAGACCAGTGATTTAAATATTTAAATCAGCCTGGGGACTGGCATTTTTAAACATACTACCCTAACTTGTGCACTGTTCACTTTAAAAATTAATATAAAATCTCCTAATTAATTTTTTGAACTACAATTTTTGGAGAACACTTACCAATGCTCCTAGAAGTGCTTGAGGGTGTGATATTTCTGGAAACTTTCCCCTTTGTGAAGTGGCATTACACAGAACTTGCAAATGTAGACATACTCCTTTTTTTGTGAACTGTGCAAACACAGCACTGCCTAGAAGTATTCTTCCCCTTGGAATGTTCACTCTTCACAATTTTCACGAGGGTATTTTTCCGCATATTACTCAAGAGTCTCCTTGGGAGGTCCACATGAGGCCTTTGTGGGGTGGGAGTTGATGGCCCCGGTCGTACTAAGTCTTTGTGTGACCCTGGTTCTGCCGCCACCATCTGGACTGTAGCCCAGGCCTTTGCCACATTCATCAGAAATGCTTTGTATTTCAATTTTGAATCAGAGTTTACATTTTTTTTTTAGATTTTTTGCTGTCCCCACAATGTTACTACACACAATGTTATTACCCGCATTATCATCAGAGCTACTGTCACTTTTACTGTCTGTGACCACAATTCTTTGTTGCCCCCCGTCACTGTCGCTGTCTGAATGACAATTAATCCATTACTACGCATCTCACAAGGCAGGTCAGCTAGGTCATCGGAGGAGAATTTGTCCTTGATCCATTCTCCCCACTAGCTACTGGCTGATACACACAGCTTGAAGAGGGCAAAGCATTTTCCTTTATAGTCGGTTAAGTAAACAGCAAGGTCAAGTTACTGACTGCTAACTAAACATTCCAGAGTCTTATCATGCATCTGCAAGCGGCTGCGTGCAATGTAGGTGGCGCCAGAGCGATGTATAGTGTGTTGCAACTTATCATGTTCTAAAAGCCTGTTAACATGTGAACGGTCTGCCATGTTTAAAAGCGAAAAACCTTTTAAAGGGTGCGCGGTCTGCAAAGTGTTAAAAGGGACTGCCATTTTCAGGCAATTAATTTTAGGAAATATAAATGCTTTTACCCAACATGCTACTTGACTGAGTAAATGTTTCAAATGACAATAAAAATGTAACACAGATGATGACAGCTGCAAATACAACAGCAGAGATGAAAAGGCAGATCACAAACTGGACAATTCTAATTTTCTACAGATTTATTTGATAACATGCACAAAAGAGCTATCAACTGGGAGACCCTAACATTAAGACACCAACACTGAGACAGGGTGACACACATGCCAGAGTGGGAGCTAAGTAAATGACAAATGGTTTGCAAGACAAGTGAGACCAACAAATATGCAACAAGTAGCAAACTTGAGATGAATATGAGAAAACTTACAAAAATCTGCTCTTATTCAAGGCACAGGTCAATATAAGGGACAGAATGACTAACAGCTATTCACTTGGAGAACATTCAACACTACACAACATGTACCTAATGTCTTGGCCCACTTTAGGAGGAAGGAGAATTTCTATCTCCAGTTCAGTCTTGCCATCATCTGCTTCCCGGATCAATCTGGTATCTTCTACCTGCACAACACAATCTGCACCCGCAGGTACAGGTGCCCCTGTGTTAATTCTAACACACTGGCCTGGCTGCAGAACACTTTGATCACCAGGCTAAAAAAAAGCAACAGGCATCAGTTTCCATGGAAAGAAAAGATGAGGAACTAATATGACCATCAACAATAAGGAAACTGACCTCTTCCAGGATTTTTCATTTAACCCCACATAAATAACTCTACATATAAACTAAATAAACCTTTACCTTCTATTTCCTAAACTTCATATTGAAAAAATACCATCATGTGTAGGGGGTACGCGTGACAAAAATAAGGGGATCTAGATCAGATTTATTAGCACTTTGCTTACAATTTCTCTTAATTACAATCGATACAGTGCTATTGCCGATTTACACACTTTCCATTTACCACTTCACACGCACCAGGTTTCTCTGTCTTCACTAGTCGTCTCCTGGCAACATATCTCAATGCAGAAACTAGCACTTCAGATCACTATGAAGTCTTCTTTGCCACTTCTTGTTCAATCACCCTGGAACCCTGGAACTCAACTAAAAACTCTCCTGGACTCTTAACTGCACTGCACTCTGCACTAATCTAAGCTACAACAGGTCTTCGTTATATAAGCTCCACATAGAAAACACAAGTCACGTGACTTCTAGCCAGTGAGTTCACTGGCATGCTGACTGTTGCTTAGCAATGAGCTATAACATTCTTTCACTGAGACACATCTTCCGTCGTTGCATGTTGAAACGTATTTACCAAGCTGTTACTTAGAAAGGCTTTGAGCAAATTTGTTACAATATGCATTCCTACTGCAAAACCCATTGACATACACCCCATCTGCCTACTGCCATTTGAAAACATAAAAGGCATAATCACACACAGAATATGGACAGCAGACTCTGACATACAACAAAAACCAATAAAATTGAAGGTTGTGCATGAACATGACATGAGACATTGCTGTCAAAATGAAATTTTCGTGTCCAGCTTCCAAACTATTCTTGTAATTTCACACATCCATTGTTCCTTAACCATTCAGAATAGCACCTTTCTTTACTGATATTTCTGACTAGGAACAAATTCAGATATAAGCTCCTCAAGTTAAGACAAATCACCTTGTATGTATATCCTGGTCACATTTTATTACTTTTGAGTATAATGGAGTACACTATATTTCATTCATTAATGGAATGTGGTAGTGGAGCTGCTTCATACTCCTGCTTTGTGTTTGGGAAGTTCTGAGTTCAAATATCAGCTCTCAGGCCAATTTATCTACCTGAGGTTTTCCTGTTTCCCTTATACCTGCTGTGATATCTTTAGGTAGGCCAGAACCGTTTCCTTCCTCATCCTTCCAAATACATTCTTCACTAATCATGTCATCTAACACTACATAATCTGAGAAACTGAATGCCATGGTAAATAAACAAATGGTAACTATTCAGTATTCTTCTGTGTGTCCTGGTCTTTGAGACACCTCATTATTCTTATTAGAGCTGAAAGCAATATAATTTGTCTGTAGCAGTATCCCATTCAGTCCAGAACCTTTTGTCTTCTTGTCTGTTGTCCAACAACATAAAAATTAGAATATACAAAATTATAATTTTTCCTGTAGTTCTGTATGGGTGTGAAACTTGGTCTCTGACATTAAGGAAGGAACATAGACTGAGGGTGTTGAGGAGAATATTTGGACCAAAGAGAGATGAAGTGACAGGAGGTTGGAGAAAACTGCATAATGAGGAGCTTCATAACTTGTACTCTTCTCCAAGTATAATTAGAATGATCAATTCAAGGAGGATGAGGTGGGCAGGTCATGTAGCACGAATGGGGGAGATGAGGAATGCGTATAAGATATTGGTGGGAAAGCCAGAAGGAAAGAGACCACAGGGAAGACCAAGGCATAGGTGGGTGGACAATATTAGAGAGAGATAGGATGGGATGGTATGGATTGGATAGATCTGGTTCAGGATAGGGACCAGTGGAGGGCTCTTGTGAACACGGCAATGAACCTCCAGGTTCCATAAAATGCTGGGTAATTCTTGAGTAGCTGCAGAATTGGTGGCTCCTCCAGAAGGGCTCAGCTCCATGAGTACTTAAGTAAGTAACTAAGTAACTAAGTAGCAGTATCCACCTGCCAAGATCTGCTCCTGTCTCCAAATTAATGTACACTGACAATTTGTTCATTTAAAGACTCTTTTATTAACTGAAATAACAATACTGCATCAAATATAAAATTAGATATGAATGCTGTATCAGAAAAGACGTCAAGGAAATGAGTTATGGCTTCTTTCAACACACTATACTGCCATTTCATCTGCAGTGGCTGATTAAAAATCATGGAAATTATTACTGTGAGTAGCTGATCTCTGGGCCGAGTTCCTTTAACCTGGGATCTACCAAATATGAAGGAGCGCTAACCACTTGGTCACAACATTCAGTGAAATAACAGTGAATGGCTCATTTGTATCTACTAGACACAAGCAGTCAAATGACTCTGTATCTCTCCTGATAAGATGATATGTATCAACACAACTCAAGCTGCAATCAGAAACAGTGACCTGTATGCACTACAGCTTTGTCTTCATTTCTTCTATTGTGCCATACTTCATTTGATTCAATGTTACCATCATTCACTCATTCATATTCCTCTTGCTCCCTCTGTAGGACATGGCATCCAAGAAATGCTTTGTCTCACTTCAGTTTCATAATCTTAGACAGTTAGTAGAACTCCTTGGATGAGTGATCAGCCCACCACAAGGCTGATACCTACACAGGACAACACAAACACAGAATAAATAATCCATGCCTCAAGTGGGATTCAAACCCACAACTCCAGTGTTTGAGTGGCCGAAGACATTTCATGCCTTAAGACTTCACGGCCACTGTATCCTAATAAGTCAAGTATATATTTAACATCATAGTCACCTTAGCTACATTATTCTACAGAGTGAATTTCATCACTGTTCATACATTAGCTGCCCATTCTGTTTATGGCTCTGCACCTGTGGTTATGAAAGAAACTGTCAGTACACAGAAGGTTAAAGAGAGGAACAATTCCAAATTTACTTACATTGACTCCTGCAATAGAGCTGCCCAGAACTTGCCGTTTTCCAGCTCCATCACTTGCCAACACAGCATAACCATCCTTAATGGAGGCAGGGAATGGAGGAAGAGGATCTTTGGCAAACACATCTTCAGCCAGCACTCTGCCCAGAGCCTCAGTGAAGTCCACCATCTCTGTTCCTAGTACTTCAGCATGCTCTAAGACAGTCATCTGGGCAGTGGCAACATCTATAAGAGGATATGGAGACTCTCTTGCCCTTCGAGCTACTTGAGTTGGATCAACCTACAAATCACACCATTGCAATAACTGTAGAGAACTAGTGAAATCAGTAGCTATTGAAGAAATTTATTTTTCAGTTTAAATATAATCTATAAATTACAGACTCCAAACACAAAACCCAAAGCAATTTTATATATACATATATGTCAACAAATGTAGAAAATAAATGTATAAAACAGAGGCCAAAGAATTTTTTAATTTTTCATATATGTATGCCCCCCTTGTTGGTGTCTCCACCTTATCATGGTGAGGGGGTTTGAGTCTGCCAAGGACCCTGAGAGCTATACCAGCGGTAGCGTAGCTATGGGCAGGGCCTCCCTTGCTGGACAGGTCAAAGGGTAGGCATCAGACGAAGAGAGACACCAAAAACTGATGCCGGAAGCAGCGTCATCAGCAGCGACTTGAAGCACAGAGCAAATGATGCTCGAGATGGTTCAAGTTCGTATAGCAACAGGCGTGACCAGAGTGGTTTGAACGGCTGTTGTACTGCGATGTGGAAAGCAAATGGAAAAACTACCACATTATCACTTTTCCTGGATAGTCTCTTTCCAAAAACAGAGATACCATATATGCGAGATGTTTCCTCTGGAGGCAAAACAATCCGGAGCTAAACTACTCCCCCAATCGGATCTCCGGGGGGGAGTGTTTCTAGAGGAAATGTCATGCAGGCGTTACAACAAGAAAAAGTGCGAAGATCAGAAGAAACATCATGGATACAAGATTGGAACATGGAATGTCAGGACCTTGAATCAAGCAGGAAAATTGGAGAATTTGAAAACGGAAATGCAGAAGAATGAAGTGTCTGTTCTAGGTGTCAGCGAAGTGCGGTGGAAAGGACAAGGTGAAATAAGAAGCGGTGATTATACAGTGTATTATTCCGGAGGTGAACGGGCTGAAAGAGGTGTGGCAATAGTGGTGCATAAAAGTGTAGTGAGGAGTGTTGTTAAGAAGATTGCTTGTAATGACAGAATTATTGCTCTGAAGTTAAAGGCGGAACCGGTAGATATACTGATTATACAAGTGTACATGCCAACATCAGAGTATGAAGATGATGAAGTGGAAAAAGTGTATGACACAATTGAAGAAATTCTTCAGGAAGATGGAAGAGGAGACACAAACAGCATCATATTGGGAGACTGGAACAGCATTGTTGGAGATGAACCATATCAGAATATTGTTGGATCACATGGACTAGGAAGACGGAATCACAGAGGTCAAATGCTTATTGACTTTTGTGAACGAAATGGATTGATTGTTACCAACACTTGGTTCAAGAAGCCAAAGAGAAGAATTTACACATGGAAGGCACCTGGGGATTGGAAGAGGCATCAGCTGGACTACATCCTTGTGAAACATCGATTCAGAAACAGTGTGAAGGATGTGAAGACGCTTCCTGGGGCAGACATTGACTCTGACCACAACTTGCTGGTTGCCAAGTTCCGAACCAGGTTGAAGAAAATTATAGGATTTCGAAAGCGCAGACCCAGATGGGATTTGGAGAAGTTATATGCTCAAAGACAAAGCGTGCAAGAGACTCTAGAAGAGAAACTCGGTGCAATTGAAGGTGAAAGCGGAAATGCTGAAGCGCAGTGGAACGATATAAAAGAATGCATGTTAGATACTATCAGTGATTTGGTAGGTAAAGTTGAGAAGATAGCAAGAAAACCATGGGTTACACAGGAGATGATGAGTAAAATGGAGGAGCGAAGGAAATGGAAGAATGTCAACAATGAAGAAGGCAGGAGGAAATACAGGAGACTGAGGAATGAATTGAAAAGAGCCACGGACAGGGCCAAAAAGGAATATCTTGAGAAGATATGTAATGAGATTATGGAATTTCAAAGAACAGGCCGTTATGATTTGATGTACATGAAGACAAAAGAACTAGGATGGAAAGAGAATCATGGGATTCAAAATGTTGGCATCGAAGACTCCCAGGGGAATAGAATAGTAGATCAGAGGCAAGTGCTGAAAATTTGGGAAAATTATATTTCAGAACTATATGATCGACCTAATCGGCCAGAAACCTTAGAAGTTGAACCGGAAGAAGAAGTAGATACAGACGAGAAAGGACCATATATTTTACAAAGTGAGGTGGAAAAAGCTATCAAGGAAATGAGGAAGGGAAAGGCTACAGGAGATGATGATGTACCTGGAGATGTGCTCAAGTTACTGGGAGAAGGTGGTTTGAAAACACTGACAAAACTAATGAACACCATATATGAAAGTGGAGAGTGGCCCAAGGACTTTACAGAAGTTACAATGATTGCCTTAAAGAAAAAGACAAAAGCTACAAAATGCAGCGACCATCGCACAATAAGTCTTATTGCACATACAGCAAAGATAATAGCAAAGATACTTAAAAGAAGAATTGAAAGGAAAATAGAGGATGTACTTGGAGAAGATCAGTTTGGATTTAGAAGAGGAAAAGGAACCAGGGATGCAATTGGGATGATGAGAATTATAGCGGAACGAACTTTGGAGATAGATGAAGAACTGTGTGTTTGCTTCATAGACTGGCAGAAGGCATTTGACCGGGTAAACTGGACCAAATTAATGCAGATCCTGAAAGAAACAGGTATCGATTGGCATGAAAGAAGATTGATTAGCAAATTGTACATGGATCAGAAAGTTAGAGTACGACTGGACAGGGGGGAGACAGGAAGTGTGCAGATTGGAAGAGGAGTTCGACAAGGATGCTGTTTATCACCAATTCTGTTCAACTTGTACAGCGAATGCCTTACCAAGGAAGCTCTGGATGGGCTCGGTGACTTCAAAGTAGGAGGGCAAATTATTCAAACTGTGAAATATGCAGATGACCTTGTGTTAATGGCTAAGGAAGAAACTGTGCTACAGGGCATGATTGATAGACTAATTGAAATTGGAAGGTGCTATGGCATGGAAATGAATGTGGAGAAAACAAAAGTAATGAAAATTTCGAGACAACCAACCCCAGTCACAATAAAGATAGACCAAAAACAAGTGGAGAATGTGAAATGTTTTAAATATTTGGGTAGCTTGTTAACATATGATGGAAGGTGTACTACTGAAATTAAATCCAGGATTGCAATGGCAAAAGCTGCATTTTGCAAGAAGAAGAATCTTTTTACCAGCAAATTGGACTTAAATTTGAAGAAGAAACTGGTGAAATGCTACATTTGGAGCATAGCTCTGTATGGGGCTGAAACATGGACACTTAGAGCAGTAGATCAGAAACATCTGGAAAGTTTTGAAATGTGGTGTTGGAGAAGGATGGAGAAGATCAGTTGGACCGATTATGTGAGAAATGAAGAACTGTTAATTAGAGTCAGTGAGCAGAGGAATATCCTACACGAAATAAGAAAAAGGAAGGCTAATTGGATTGGCCATGTTTTACGCAGAAACTGCCTTCTAAAAGAAGTTATTGAAGGAAAAATAGAGGGGCGGATAGAAGTGACAGGAAGACGAGGAAGAAGACGAGGAAGATGCTGGATGACCTTGGGGACAGAAGAGGATACTGTCATTTGAAGGAGAAAGCTCTAGAGCACATCACGTGGAGGAATTGTTTTGGAAGAGACTGTGGACCTGTTGTCTGACAGATTACTGATGATGATGATGATGTATGTATGTATGATGAAACACTGATCTTAATATACTGACACACTTCAAAGTTTTGAGCCCTTCTGAATGTAAAAGTGGTGTGTGTGTGTGTGGGGGGGGGCTAATGCCTGAACAGTTGGGCAGATTCTATTCAAATCCAGTATTCAAGAGTTCATCTATCACAGGTCAATATGCAGTGAATACCACCATTCTAGTTCCTAAAACAGGGACCCTTCACATGAACCTCCAAAACAAAATAGCTATTTTCTCAAATATGGCTCAAACAATCTTGATTAAATTTCAGAAATTCATGGACATCATCTCCCTAAATATAGGTGGTATCTTCAGGAAGATACTTTATTTACTTTACCTTGCTGTTCCCATGATAGTGATGATGTTCCTGATGACTGTGCTTTTGTCTGTGACTAGGGCAATTTCCCATATTTGACTGAATCAGTGTGTGTGTGGATTTCACTTCTGCAATTCTGTCTCTGAGCACAGCAACAGCGTGAGATAAAGAAATAGCCACACTCTCAAGACATTCCTGGGATCCTTTTACACTACCGGGCAAATTGATAATCAAGGTGCTGTAGCGGATACCTGTGGTTGCTCTGATAATTAAGCAGAATTAAAAACAATGATAAGGTCTTCCATTGTCTTCAGTTACAATGTACAATTGTCAGCACATATGATAAGATAACATATTAAGTGCCACATGCCTTAATTTTGTACATTTCAAGCAAAGTAAATGACATTCAACACAGATTTCTCTGTTTCATTTTAAAGAATAATGTTACAAAAGTCTCAAAATTATTGCTGTAATATGGAACAAACAAAATGAAGACATTTTATTTTTCTACTTCCTTAGGGTAACTAAGGTACATAATAAAATGTTCATTTAAGATTTATTTTATTCACTTTACTTGGGTTGGAGTTACGTGACATGCTCGAATAATATCTGGACTGCATTTATTTCTATCCATTATTATGTTTACTATTCCATACAGTCTCCTTCAAGGTCGCGCCTTTGTGACTTGATACCATGGTTGGAAGCATCTACAGAAATCCTGTATCTTGAATTTGGCAAGTGTTCTTTAATGTTGCTGTTGCCATGAAACTTCCCTTCTGCAGTGAAAACTTGAATTTATGAGAATGGAAAACAGTCACATGGCAGTTCATCTGGACAGTACAGAGGGTGTGACAAAACAGTTATGCCATGTTTAGCCAAATCTCTGTGCACAGACATAGCACAGGAAGCAGAAGCAATTCTGTGATCAAGCACTAAATCTCCAATAATCAATTTCTCAAGATGTTCTAGCCATACATGTTCTCATGCATGCTGTAGAACAGAAGAGAAATACTGGTTAATGTTTTACACCTGCTGGCCAAATCCGTGAATGTACAATTCTACGAACGTTGAAAAACACATTCAGGTGGGCTGGATGAATAAATTCCAGTAGGTGATCATGCTCTTCTCACTGGTACAAATCTATCTGATCCTTCTTGGACATGCATACAATGACCTCTTCACTGAGGAGACTGTTCCTTTATTTTAGGGTTTTAACCATAAACCCATATTTAATCATTTGTGATCACCTCTGAAAGAAACTGAGAGTCTCTCAGAAGTTTTTCCTGGAGATCCTAATACACAAAGACATAATTCTGCTTTCACTCATCTGTCTTAAAATAAGGCAATCCAGCCCATACTGACATCCCATGTCAAAATGCACTGATCCAAATGAGATTTCCACGTCATTTGCCATGTTTGAGATAATGACACATCTGTTTTCATGAAAAATTTCCTTAATTTATGTCATGTTTTCACCAGTTTTGCTTATGGATGGAAATCTTGAATGCTCAACATCATTAAATGATGTCAGTCAAATTTGATATTTGGAAGACGAATTAATCGTCTGAGTTCTGTTCACTATTTCCTCTCTAACATCAAGCTTTAACAAGTTGTAGGGTTCTGTGGAAATTACACCCAGTCTGAGGCAAAAATTGATGCACATGTCCTGTTTTTTTTTTTTTTAGGATGTGCAATTTGCTCATTAATCTTAAATTGCAGAGGGCACAACATACTTCACAAGGCCTTCCTCCTGAGTAGGGCTTTGAACCAAACCACCAAACCACATAATTTTGTTGAACCAGAACCCAAATCAAGCCTTTTAAATAACATCTGAACCACAGACCTGAGCCATGTAATCTGTGAAATATGTTCACTTTCCTGCATTTATGCATGCTCTTATGAGTGCTACCATTGACATGTGGCTCACAAAGGGGAAAGGTCAGTCTTCTTTTCTAGCAAAGCTGTGTAAGTGAGGGGTGGAAATAAAACTGTACTTTGTAACAAGCTAGGTATAAAATAAATCAAAACGTTTTGTTAGATCTGGTGGTGCTGGTTGGTCATCTGTGTGACATTAATGCAATTTTCACTGCACCAGCCGAGTGCTTAGTGTTGTGTTGGCCTACAAATACTGACTCTGTCTCTATGTTAATGAGTGCAAGTAAGTTAAATAATTTGTGTGTTAATTGCAATCATGTGACTAGTAAAAGCAGAGTACATGAAACATCCTTGTTACGATGTTCCCTTCTTTCAGAAACTGATTTTAAACGATGCACCTTGGTTTGAGCGTGGCAGCAAGATTTTAAGGGAAAGTTATTTTCATAATAATGTAACAGATTCAATCAACATGTTGCCAGGCAACAGTTCTATAAACACGGTCCAACATACAACAACAGAGGGGCTTTGTTTTCTGTGCATGGTCCATGCCAAGAGGATATAAGAGAATACGAGAATGTGTACTGACTTCACTTCAGTTCTGAATTTGTGACAAGATGGCACTTAGGAGCATCCAAACTCAATTACTGAAATTTACAGAATGTTTAAGTCAAGCATCTCTCCTCAGTTTCACGAACCTGAACTAAGGATGTTCTCCTCCAGCTTCCAGTGGGCTGCCTTAAACAGCTTGGAGTGCACAAAATTCTTGCATTCCCCAATTACAATTGCGAGTGATTTTCAACTTTCTCTGTATGGATCTACAGCCCTTTGGACCTTGGCCATTTTTTCATCTTCTTAATGCTATACACAGTTGGTAGGACTCCTTGGATAGATGAGTAGCCTGTTGCAAGGCTGCTACCTGCACACAGGACAGCATACACACAGAATAACACACACACATCCATGCCTCGAGTGGGATTTGAACCCACAACTCCAGTGTTCGAGTGGGCAAAGAGAGTTCACGCCTTAGACCATGCAGCCACTGTGATTGGCTGATATTCAAATTGGGAGACTTTAACTGCTGGCTATCAAACAAACAAAACAAAAGAAAAACTCAGTGCTTTTTTAGTCCGCAAGCGAACTACACCAACCAAGCGACCACCGCTTGTTGGCGAAGTTAGTGCCAACGTTTATGGATAGAAGGTGTCAANTTTTAGCCTCAGTTTAAATAGTTTCACATCATTACTCATACTCTTGATTCTGGATGGCAGGTGGTTATAAGTCTTAATACCAAAGTAATATGGTCCTTTCTGAAAGACTGTTAGGCGTGATGTGGGAAGGTGCAAATTTGTGGTATGTCTAGTATTGAGATTGTGGGTCTCATAGTTTGAACTGTATAGGTGTCTATTATTTACAACAAACAGAATTATAGAGTATATATACTGTGAATACATTGGCAATATTTTTAGGTTTTTGAATAGTTCCCTATTCAAAACTTTTAAAGGAAGACTGACCATGCATCCTAGTCTACTATTTCTAATTTGTTCATGAAGCCCTCCATCTTGCAGCTAAATGGAAAATTTGACCTCAGTCTAGCATAAGTTAAAGAATCTCATTATATCAATCAAACTAATCTGGTGATTGACGCACTATTTTCATTAATTCCAAAAGAAGATAATTTAATTCACATTAAGGTAATTAAATATACCACAAGTAGACGAAAGTGTGCGATGAAAGTATCTGTATGACACAGTATTCATTTTCATGTGTCACACAAAGTGAGTGACACACACAGTACCCTGCAGTGGTCAATACTTAATGTGTTCTCTTATTGCTTACCCAACTGCACTAGTCTTGGTTTAAGCCTCTGTACACCTTCATATCACATCAATCATTTCAGAGTGAGATATTACCAAAACCTCTCAAACTCTCTGCCAGTTGAACAGGAGCATAGCCTGGCTACATTTGTGGTTTATAACCTACAACTTGAACAATGACAAAACAACTAGAAGTTCTGGGAAGAATTAACTTACTTTCCTTTAATATGGCATAGGCCACACAGAAAACAATGCATGTGTGGGATTTGTCGATACTCCAAAGACCGATCGCTCTGGACTAAGTGTGATGGCTGACTGGCTGATGAGGTCACTGATCATTGCTGGGTTGGAGCTCTGTCTTTTATACCAATCTTGGTGGGCAGAGTTTAGACTTGTAGTTGCTACTGTGAGTGCTGATTGGCTAGCACGCGTAATGATTACGAGTGAGCTGGGCATCGAGTGCTGTATAAATATGAGTGGTGGCAGCAATGTGATTGGTTAGTGTGCGTGATGGTGAAAAGTGAGCTGGACTGCGAGTGCTGTATAAATATGAGAGCTGACAGCAATGTGCTATTGACTTAGGAGTGAGTGTTGTCTGTTGATCGGCGAAACAGCGTGATAGTACGTGGGATGTTCCCACACATGCAACAATTTTTCTATTGTTGCGTGGATAGTTCTTGCCACAGTAATGTTTTATGAAGCCAATGCTTAGCAACAATAGGAGGATACACATACAGACACGCAGACCGATGGGAGTAATTTATAAAGCATCTCACTGAGATGGGGTCAGGTGCCATGATACACATACCAGGTTTCACAGACATTGGTTCAGGCATTCAAAAGTTGATAGGGGGAATTCACAGACATACAGAACAGCATGCTGAACTCATAATCCTACTTTTACTTTTCCAAAATAAGGAATGCATGCTAAATATTATTTAGCGTAATGGTAGAAATTAGGTTCTCATAGTGGTGGTTGTGCCCTGTCCTGGCCTCCTTCCACTACTTTCGCTCTACAACCCAAGCACATGAATTCCCTTCCCATCCTCAGTTCTCTGCACTCCACACACTTACTACTTGTCTCCCCCATGTACCCACATCAGCACCAGCTAGTTATCCTTGTCTTGTCTCCTGCTGGTCCACTCTGTTCTGTGAACAGACAAGTTAGCCTGCAGTTTCCTCCTGTTTCCTGTATAAACTCTAGCTTTTGGCAAGTGGATTACTCTGCTTGCTAGCTGCTTCATGCTGGTTTCTTGCTTGTCTTATTCTCCGAACCTGAAGATGGAGGCAACATGCTCCTCCATAACTTCTATCAGATTTCAACAGACTACACAGTGTTATATACCAGAAGACAGAATTCATTTAAGGTGATGATTTATTTGCATCTTGTAGCTTCCTTGCAGCTGGGATGGTGCAGTAGGTACAGAAACTGGTTATGGGCTGTACAGCTGAGGTGTCAGAGTTTGAGTCCTGGTAGAAGCTAGATATTTCTCCTCTCATCATTAAGACTAGTTCTGCAGCCCACCCAGCTCTTCTGTGGTGACAAAGCAGCTGCAGTGTGAAGCTGACCACTCAACTTCAACTAGTGACATCAAGAATACATGGATCTATAAATCCACTCCCCCATGGCGTAGTGCTTAATTAGTTAAGCAAAGAACCGACTTTACCTTTACCTTTAGTCTTCTTGTTTAAGACTTGACAAGCATTTCAGTACTTTCTGGTTCATTAAAATACTGCACTTTTAGACCATTTGGTCTGAGTTATTGGCTGTGACTAAAAAATGATTCACTTTGTAGTTTTAATATTAACAAGAGAGACCAGATGCATCTACTACCAGACATACAACAAACTATGACAACTTCAGTTTAATATAAATCCACTATGCTTACGGCAAGGAATTTATCTGTGTATTACACTGAACTGAAATATGAACTATTAAGATTTATACAGAATACTTATTTTACTTTAAGACAGGTATAATACAGTTTTTCATTTTGGGAATACGATGGGCAGGAAAAGAAATTATATGACTAAAATACCTAACATGCAGCCCATAAAAATGATACATCAACATGCAGAGCTGCCAAATGATGCCAGTTCAGAGACATGGTGTCAAGAACTTTTCAAATCAAACAAAAACAATGTCCCACTCAAAACACAACAAAGCAGGATGCTTAGGAATCAATGTGCAAGTGACTCACCCCAACTAAAATGTGCATGCAAAATTCCATTAACACACTGGGGAGGGGCAGTTATTGCTATTTGTCTATACATCATCATCAGACAAAACAGGCCCTTTATTATAGTTCAGATTGGGGATTAGGAAACATTTCGAACCCAGATATTGAAAATGTCATAATCCGCAAGATGAACGAGACATTAAAAAAGATTTGGCAGAAATAATAATCACACATATATACAGAAGAAACTAATAAAAATTAACCTGATTATATCATCAGGCCTGACTTAGTTCAATTCTTTAACTTGTATATCACCACTAAAATAAAGATGTAAAACTGCTAACAAGTGTGGACCTGGTTGTCCAGTGTTCCTGAAGAGGAAGGACTAACAATATGTGCCAGAATGAGCATGCCAATAATGATGACAACAGCGATGATGATGATCATTATGATGAGTGCTACTGCTACTGCTGCTGCTACTATGACAATAATGGAAGTGATGATGAAGATTTTAAGAAATTATTGAAGACCAAATATATGGCTGTAACAGAGAGTTCAGATATTGAATACATGCTGGTGGCAGTGAAATGCATTCTAGGAGTTAACAGAAGTAACATTTTTAGAATACAGGGGGTCATAAAAGACACACAACCTGAATTGAATAAATCTGCCAGAGTGGCTCTTCAATGCCTCCTACACAGGTCACAGCAGAAGGGTTCATCAAATATGCGGTTCATTATACACAACCATTACACAAAATTATATTATATTTATATAAATATTGTGACATGTTGCGCAACGGAGGGTAACCCCGCCTCCCCAGCGGTACGTGGCGGCATTGTAGCGCTGACGTCACCCTATGGTAATAGGCAAGTCAACATCCCGCCGCCCTCCCCACGGTGACGACATGGCGCCAGGCAACAGCAGCACTCTTTACGTAACAGCCAAGCACTGCGGCTATATAAGGGAGCTGCACAGCCGCCGAGGAGAGTTAACGTGTAGCCGTCCCCGGAGACAGTTAAAAGTGTATCAGCGGCCGAAGACAGTTCTCTAGCCAGCAGTGAGCAGTAGAAGTTGAGTTGGAATCTAGCCAGCGGCAAGTTACGAGTTAGTGTGTGATAATCAGTGACAGTTTGTGATAACTGAGAATTAATTGGAAGTGTGTAACACAGTGACACTTGTATAGCTCCCATATCGTAATTAATACGTGTAGACTACTGAGGACAGAGTGAACTGATTATTGCGAATAGGGTTATAAAGTGTGAAACCCCGCAACAGCATTGTAATTAATTGTAGCCGAGATTTGTAGGTTGTTAAACAAAACCAATTAACAATCCGAATGGCGTCTTCAGTAACGAAACACAAATAATTTTATGTACACATTCTTACCTTGACAACATTGCTAATGGTGTTATGTCAAGACTTTTCTTAAACATTGCAAACGTCAGTCCAGATGTTTCTCTATGTATGACTTCTTTAGTGGCTTCAGGCGTCACATCACGAGAAGAAAAACCAGTTCCTCCTGTGGTAAGAATAACATCAACACCTTCTCTATCAGTCCATTCCTCCAGGATCCTCTGAAATCCAGCAACAAATTCATCTTACTGCACTGAAATCCAGCAACAAATTCATCTTACTGCACTGGCCACTCAGACATCATCATTCTAAATACAGGATTAAATTTATATCAATAATCTTCCACACTCATTGGACTAAATGATTTGTTTTGTACTGTCTCTAACATGGGGACACATGATAGCATAGTTGGTTGAGGAACTATGCTTCAAGCTGGAATGTCGTGGGTTCAGATCATGATGGGGTCATTGGATTTTTTCAATTGACCTAATCCTTCCCACCGCACTATGACCCTGGGGTCGACTCAGCCTCTAACCGAAATGAGTACCAGGAATCTTCCTAGGGGTAAAGGGCGGCTGGTGCGTAGGGGGCTGACAACCTTATCGCCATCTATGAGCTGATTGTCTAGAAAATGTGGGAGCCTCAACATCTCACAACCCTATGAGTCTCCACAGCCTGTTACATGAATAGCTTTACTTTCTTTTTTCTTTTTTTTTTTTTTGCTGTCTCTAACGCATATCCACCACAGGAAGATTTTCACGCAGATCATGGAAAACTGCTTCCTCAAAGGCACAGTCTTTTGAGTTATAATGCCATATAGTTTGGAGACAGCCCAACATTTTGGAGGAATATACAGCCTCCATCTTGTGGGCTGAAGAGCCTGCCATCTGCTTCTGCTAGCTTACTCTATAACTCTAAAGGTGGAGGCAAGATGTTCCTCTGAAATGTTGGGCTGTCACTCAGTTGTACGGTACTAAACCCAGATGACTCAATAGGCACCACTGTGAGAAACATAGATACATTTCCTACTCCTGAAGAAATATTCATGACTCATAGTGATTAACCTGTTCCATTTAAAACTAAAGCACAGGAAACAAATTATTTCTGCATTACCACTAGAAGTAGTGAGGACACAGTGCTCATAGAAATGTTTTCCTATTATATTTGAGAATATTAAAAAGAATGAATTTGTCTATAGACTTATTCTGAGCAAAACGACATGCTCTGAATTTGTTTCATGTGAGTCTTATACCAAACAAGGCATCCTAAGTCAGAAAGTGCTGAGTAAAGGGCACACTTATAAAGTAAAGTAATGTAAATGTATCCCTGTAACAGGCAGTGGAGGCCCATAGGGTTGGTTGAGGCACTATGTTACAAGGCGGAAGGTCGCAGGATCAAATCTCGATGAAGTCACTGAATTTTTTCAATTCACCTAATCCTTCCAACCGCACTATGGCCCTGGGGTTGACTCAGCCTCTATCAGAATTGAGTACCAGGAATATTCTTGGAATGTTCGTGGGGGTAAAGGGGGCTGGCGCATAGGGCTGACAACCTTTCCGCCATCTATGAGCCGATTGTATAGAAAATGTGGGAACCTCAACATCTCACAACCCTAAGGGCACACTTATATCAAATTCATAACAATTTCATCTGAACTTTACGTTACCACTAAGGTTTAAATTTAATTACTAATTACCTTAATGCAATCCTTTTCATCTGGCACACAGTTCTGAAGAACAACTTTTCCATTGGGAATTAATCCTTTAATAATAAGAGCTGCAAGATTTGTGCCACTCCTGTCTTCTGCTGTTCCTTGGGAGCAACTGTCACTAACTGTAACATAGGAAACATATAGTCATGTTTGTATCAATTTCTGTAACTAAACTGAGGTTTTAAATTATGTCAAAAGGTTTTATGGTGGCAGTCCTGCAGTGATATATACTCATATACAGAACCAATCACTCTGTGACACACTGCCAAAACAGCTGGTGAAGTTTATGATGTATGTGGTACACCCATGACAAGCTTTGTATTCACTTCTTGGTTACAAACAAATTACAGAGTGAGCTAAGAGTCATCATGTGGAAAAATGCAAAAAACAAACTGTGAAACATCTACATACTTTTTGACATTTTAAGCACTTTATCACTGCACAACACATGTTTATGCTAATGCATTATGACTTTCCAAATATTTGTCATTTGCATCAGACGAACATAAAATTATGGCTCAGTTCTTGCCCTTAGCCTTTTGCCACTGGAGCTTAATGTATGACTTTGGCATGCCACACAGAATATTAAAAGGCTTTGCCACTGCCTATTGCATAGCACCCTGCTCCCGTTTCCTCCAATCACAGACTCACCTCCAACTCAGCATCTACTACGATATATGTAAAAGAGGAACAACGCAACTAGATATACAAATTATCATGTATGTACATGATACATGTACATACATGTTTCGGCCTAACCACCCTCCATCAGGCTATTCTGATATTTATTACCTACATCACTGCTGTGCTACAGATTGACCAATGCTTACAACTGGAGACAGGTGTTAGTAACTACATGATCTTGTAACAGAGCTGTGATCACAATAATTCACAAGGCATATCAATAACCAAACTTTTTAATAAAGTTTCTGACACAGAAACACATTTACTTCAACTTCAGCCGAGCATTTCAACAATCAACTATACTTTTAGGAATAGTAACACATTAAATGATGGCAGATCTAGCTTACAATCCAATGGTTACCAAGGGCTCTTTCCCTTGGGATAAAGTGGCTGGAGCGTGAAGATGACCACTCACTTCCATCTAGTGCTGAGGTGATGAATGGTGGAGTTATACCTCCACTCCTTGACACATCTTCATGGCATGGTGTTTAATTAAACGCAGGAATAACTTTACATTCACCTTTGTAAATACAATTTTATCTCAACAAAAATGCTATAATTACAATCCTGTCACTTCATATAAAAATTGTCTTTATTAAACCTTTCATGACAATAATCCCCAAAAAGTTTTTGTTGTTGTTAAAGTAGGGAAATAGCACAGTTATGCATAAGAGATATTCTTCTCTATTATTACATTCCAGGCAAAAAAAAAATCTCCATTATGATTGGATTACATAAAAATTTGGTTATTTAGTATTATATTAGGCATTGTTAGAAAATAGCTAAAGCCATAGGAAATGTAAAAAAGGGTCTACACAGATGTCTAGTTCACACTGTCCTCTTTTTTTTCACCAACAAAATCTGGTCACTCTAATATAAGCATGAGTATGTGGGCAGCAAGGTTACGAATTTCTAATACTACCTAGATTCTTAGAAGGCAATACTAAAGGAAAATTACTGCAGGTGTTACTGTTCATATTTCCATTGTTATTTTTACTCTTCATCGCTCTGCCCAAGCACTTACCCTTCGTGTTACATGGTAACTGTAAATGAAAATAAAATTCCACAGCAGTTAGAGGTTAGAATCGTTCTATTATCATCTCCGTAAGTCTGCCTTGAAAAGGTGTTACTCAACCGGCTAGGACACTCCTTGCGTTTATGCAACCTCGTGTTCACAAATGTCCACTATATAGCTTCCTATTTCACCAGTCCTTCCAGTAACTGTTTCATGATCTTAACACAAAAGGCAGAACTTCGAGAAGATCTAATACGATATGACCTATGGAAAGTCCGTTGCGGTTAGTATATAATTTAGATCATTCACATCAGCTCATCTAGCTTAGTAGGGTGACCTTTCCATACGTTGGGTACCATAATAAATGATAAAATTACACCGTGTAAAAGGTTATCGATAGTCACTGTACCTGTCAATATTCCGAAATTAATTTTCGTGCTTTTATTTGATATCATCTTAGATTTCTACGGTATAAGTTACAATACCAGTGATTTTTCCTTTTGCTTGTAAGACAGTGAAGTACGCAAAAACCTCCACCACCTCAACGACCTCTACGCACTAAGCAACGCTAAGAAACATCAAGGCCATATTGCAAGGTTCAAGTTTCACCTCTACTACTCATCCTACAAACATTTCTTGCTGAATTTGGTTTAGAGGTTATTCACCAGCTCACCAGTGACTACGAAATATACCATTCTTCTGGGATATAACGCCGTGTAGTACGGTAGAAGTTCACCGGCGTTTCGGAGGAACATAACCAACATAACTGCCTGCGTCTTCGGCGTCATAGGGGTCATAGGTTAAGCCAGGCAAGCAAAGCCACGGCGATGCATCCCAGATCAGTGATTCTCAACCTTTTAAGACCGCGGCCCCGTAAATTCTTTTTCTGTAAGACGAGAGTTCGGTATAATTGTTGCCAGGGTCCTGTACTGGGCCGGGGCCCGGTAGTTGAGAAATACTGCCCTAAATTATCGCTAGATGATAGCACTGTTCAGCTTCAGACTGCACCTGCCTGAATTAGTGTTTCTAAGATACCGGGTGATTCATTTGGAGGAGACCCCGAATTAAAATTTATAAATCATGCAATAATTTATTGATGAAGACGAAATTTGGCTACAATGTCTACCTCGCTACATAACCCGGTGCCCTGTTCGCCCCATTTCTGCGATTGCTGAAATCTCTTTAGCCATGCTGGCTGCCGGATTCGCGTCGTGCTGGCCTGCCTCTCCGGGCTGAGAGAACCCCATTTTAACACCTTCTGTAGCCCAGTTACCACTATGAGATAGACCCAATGTCAAATTAAGATTCAGAATATGTTGTCCAGCCCTATAATAACTAGAAATGGAGATCGACTTGGGGATTCCATAGCCTGCCTTTTGTTCAATATAGCATTAGAGAAGGTAGTTAAGAGATGCAGGCATCAACACAAGGGGAACTATATTCTGTAAGTCAGTTCAAATTTTGGCATTTGCAGATGATATTGATATAATTGGTAGAACACAAAAATCTATGAAAGAAGCTTTTCTTAATTTGGAAAGAGCAGCAAAAAAAATTAATCTACAAATTAACTAAAATAAAACAAAGTGCATGCCGGTAACCAAGAAAGACTGTGCTAATGGACCTGCATATATTGAAATTGGCTCATATAAATTTGAGGTTGCATGTAGTTTTACTTACCTTGGATCAGAAGTTAACTGTAAAAATGATATCAGTGATGAAATAAAAAAGCGTGTACTTGCGGCAAATAAATGTCTCCATGGCCTTAGGAAACACCTGAAATCCCAACTAATACCCAGGAAAACCAAAACTATGATGTATAAAGTACTTATAAGAGCAGTGCTATCTTATGCCTCTGAGACCTGGCCACTGTCAGGATCGGATGAAAGACTGTTAAGTATATTTGAAAGGAGGATCTTGAGATATATCTTTGGACCAGTGGAAGAAATTGGAATATGGAGGAAGAGGTATAACCATGAACTATACAAACTATTTAATGAACCAGACATTATTCGATTTATAAAGGTGAAAAAGCTTGTATAGGCTGGACATATAGTACGTGCCAGCGAGAATAGAACGATTAAGAAAATACTTAATACTAAACCAGAAGGATATAGAAAAGTGGGAAGACCAAGATTAAGATGGGAAGAATGTGTGTGTGGCAGGACATAAGAATTTTGGGTGTAAAAAACTGGAGGAATGTAGCATCAAATGGAAGAGACTGGCGAGCAATCCTGAGGAAGGCTAGGGCTCACAAACGGCTGTCGTGCGAATGATGATGATGATGATGATGATGATGATGATGTACCCCAGTTATCTTCCCATCTACCAAGGTATGTACTGGCCAAGTTTCGTTTTCGTCAGTAAATTACTGCGTGACGTACAATTATTAATTGAGGAACCTCTCCGAGTGAATTATCCCATATTTAAATGTTCTAACCCGTTCGATTTTATGATTATCTTTCAATGCAATATTGCTTTCACCTTCATTGCCATATATTTTACATTTGCAACAGGAATATATTGAAACAACTTTACGCACTTTGTGCTATTCTCTTTAGCTGTTTCTCGGATTCACTGAGGATATCCCGGCAATGTTGATACCATGCTACGTCGTGAGATACTGCCTGCATAAAGTCCTGATTCTTCCCGTCTTTTACTATTTACGTGATATAACAAATAAATAGTACTAACAATGAAGACATCTCACATCCTTGTCTTAGTCCGGCAGGATGATAATTACTTTTGTTTCATGTAAGATTGAGATAGCATTAAGCAATTTTAAACGCATATTCTAAAGTGTTCTGAGATGGTGTGCGGCGGTAGGTACAAAAAGTTTAACAAATTCTCCACTGAATCCTATGCACGATTTCTCATGGACTTGGTTTGTCACATAAAATTGTCACCTTCCTCTCTTAGTTTCATGTAGGTGCACGCTTTATCATAATTTTATTGCACATTTTCCTGTTATCTCCCTTCGATATAGCCCGGTCTCACGTGTTTATATAGCTGTAGTTCTACTGATATGGACTGGCCAGTGATTGAGATTATCTCTTTTTAAGAGACCCGACAGAGTAGGTGTCCCCCCCCTTCACACGAGGACGGAAAGAGATACGCGAAACGTTATGTATTTTGTTTTTAGAATACCGGACGATG